ACTCAACAGTTTTCTTGTAATTTTTCTAATAATGACAAGAAGATTACCATTTCGTTAATCTCTTGGTATATGCAATTACTTAATACAATGTATCTCTATCTTCTTCGAGGTAAGCAACTAATATATATGGATATTTTGAATATGGATATGGTAAATGTACTTGATCGTTTACAGTTGTGAGATAATGACAAAATCAAATGATATTTTTTTGTTTCACCTTGATTCCACACCGTATATTTTGGTACAGGTAGGAAATTTTCAGCATGTGATATCGGTAGCCCAAATTTTGCAGGCCGGCCATTGATATCAGGTGTACGTCGGCGGGGGATCGAACCTCGGACTATGTGCATGGTTGGTGAGAGTCCTAACCACTGTGCCATCGATGCACAGTACATTCTCACAATGGAACTAATGTATTCAATATTGCATTTAGTGAAAAAGCAAAATTTACTACTCATAGTAATACCAGAGTACACATATTACTTTTGGAATTATTTAGTATAGCTCTATTAATTATCATCCTATCATTTCATTGAAAGTAACATTTCTTAAATTTCCTCTTTGAAAGACTTTTGTGCTGACGTGAGCATTAAGATAGCTTTATTCACTGGCCACTCTTTAGTGTCTATTACTGTACACTGAACTAAATTCCAGTCCTGGCAATTTAGCTGATATTTATCTACTCGTATAAGTCATTCATCACTTGATTTCCCAGCCATTGCCAGACATTTACTGGATTAGATTACTTTTCTAAGCGGATCACTCGAACCCTTCGAAGTGTACAGTTAGAGTATTTTGAATGTTAGTCTATTTCCTACTTCATTTAGAATCCCACAAAAGAGTTTCAGATGTCTGCTTCTAATATTGGATACCTTAGACACCTTGTTTCGATCAGTAGTTTCAATGAAAGTCTTTTTTCATGAGGTTTTATCACTTCTCAATGAATTCTAAAGGACAGTTATTTATTGAGAACGCTTCATTTTATCTGTTTAATAAGTAAATTTGAGGCATTCTGATATAATAATCAGGATTCTTGTTTCATCGGTAGTGCAAGTAATCAGGCCTTCTTTTAATGATGAATGGTGAAATAATACGACGTCTTAAAATCAATTAGAACGCATGCAGTGCTTTACAAGAGCACATACTGCTCTTACACCATGATCCATATAAGATAAAACTGCTCTGTCATGGAATTAAAAGAAAACAGACAAAAGTTGTTATCAGATAATCAGATGTATTAGTGCAGATGAAATTTAAGTAGCGATTTATTCCTACACCTACAGTCTGCATTACATTATTTGTATGATCATCACATTATTAAGACCCTCATATCAGTTGCATAAGTTCCACAATAAAAGTTTAAAACAACAAGAGAAGCAGGTAATCCATTGCATATTTAATGCTCCTTTGTGAATGGCTCTATTCATGTAGGTAGTTGTCTGGCTTCTGGTGAGACTAGTCGTAACCAGTAGGGTACAGCAAGTCATGTGAAATGAGAAATACTCACCGACAACATCGGCTAGTGGCTGCGCTATGTCGAACTTCAGTGGATGCACGTTTAGTCCCTAGTCTCACTAAACACTCGTCTTGTAGTCGTAGGTTTTCTAGTGGGTCTCTAACCTACGTCAACTCATGATGACATCCTGTAACCATTCATATCCCTGCCAGCCAGTACTTGAATGTCATATTAGCTGATAAACCTCAAAGAAACTGTAGCTGCAATCAGCCATAAAACAAAGAACTAGACAAACTGTAAAACAACAGTGCCTTTTCTGTTAACATATTGGTTGCTTATTTTATGCTCGATCGTAGTCCTACTTGGATTTTGGGAAATGGAGTATGCATGGTAACTTTGAATTGATTTTCAAACTTTTTCCTGATTTGTGTATATTTTAATGACTTTTCACCCAAGACCTTATTTTTCATTACTTTGTACTCCAAGTGAAACTTTAGGCTTCAAAAGTGATCTTTGGAGTTTCAATAGGGGTGTTATTTTCACAGTAGGAGTGCGGGGTTGTTAGCCTCACTCTCAACCTTTCTTATTTAACGTATTTACTACGAGCTGGGCGAGATTTACTATTGCATCGGCTGGGAGTCGAACCTGAATCACGTGAGTGGCTGGCGACCAACTTACCTTTGAACCACATGCATGTGGCCCTTCTGTAGATGATAATACTGATATCCTCACAACAATTTACGAAGGCTAATAATTACTGTTTTCTTTAATGTTGACCGGAGTAATTTAGCCTTTGCGACTGAAGAATATAAGTCGATATACACAAGACAGAAACAGTCACTTAGATCAGGTTCTCAGTCTAATGATATTGCGTTGTTTTATGCTTTATGAGCTAAGAACACACTTCCAATTCAACACTTTTTGCGTCTTTATTATCTTATGGATAATTTCCTGAATTACATTAGGCGAAGTACATTAGACGACTCAATCATCAATATAACGGATTATCTCAAGTTCTCCCTTGACATATGCTGTCCCAAACAAACACTATGCAAACGCCTCGACCGCTTCTCGTCTCTTCATCTCAAACAACTTTGCAGGCGAAAAGAAACAGTATATAAACTCAAAGATAAGTTAGGACTTAAAAAGATAAATGCTCAAATCGAATCTAAAATCAAAAATCCTAATGCTATCTATAACCAAACACTTTTATCATGCAAATCTCCTATCAGCGTGTGGAAACTTTCAATGAAATTACTGGCAATAGTAAGCGATGCAACGTTTATTCCTCTTATGATGTTAACGCTCTAATCAGTCTTTCATACGCTCTCCTTCTACTATAACTACTTCTAACGTTATTAATCATGTAGCTGATAATTTCCAGGACTTTAACACTCTCGATATTTTAAAATATCTTAAAACTCTTAAGCCCTCATGTAGTCTTGGCCCTGATGGTATACCTGCATATGTTCTAAAACAATGCGCAGATGCTTTATGTTCTCCTCTAGCTAACATTCTAAATGCTTCTTTCTCCGAAAACGTTGTACCTGTTCCATGAAAAAACATTAAAATAGTCCCTGTCCCTAAACCTTGTAATAGCAAGAATGTAAAGTTCAGACCCACTGCCAACACTTCCCGTTTCTAAAGCTTATGGGAAAACCAGTGCTTCTTGAACTCGAACCCTCCCTTAAAAGCTTTGAAGACCCCAGACAATTTGCCTATAGACAGGGTAGGAGTACTTTAGACGCTGCAACCGTCTTACACAACAGTATCGTCTCATCATTAGACAAAGGTGCCAAATACGTCCACTGCACAATTCTCGACTTCACTTCTGCTTTCGACTCTGTACCTAGATGTCTCTTGCTAAATAAGCTATTCATGACACAAACTGAGTTCTGGGTCACTGACTGGTTGCATTCCTACTTTTCAAAAGAATGCAGTATGCCGTATACAAAGGCAAATCCTGCTCTGCTGTGCTCACTGAAGCTGGTGTCGCCCAAGGTACCGTAATTTCCCCACTTCTCTTTTCTTTCTTTCTACATGACTTACCGTCTTCAAATGACAATAGTTTTGTCAAATATGCTGACGACCCAACTGTATCTTTGCCTGTCAAATGTCAAAGTGACTGCACTAAACTTAACGGCTTTGTATCAGAAGTCAGCCAATGGTCCAAGGAAAACGGTCTTATCTTAAACCCCTCCAAATGCCAAACAGTTAATTTTGCCTTTAGGCACGAATCTGACCTAAACAAACTGTTTAGCACTCACGAGGTGTGCAACATAGATGGCACTGAAATAGAAACCAAGTCTGAAATTAAATACCTAGGCGTCATTCTATCTGCTGATCTTTCCTCGTCATCTCACATCTTGATGATTTCTAAGTAAATATTCTGTCTTACCTTCTACATCAAGAAGTTAAGACATTCTGGTATAACCAACCCTTACTCCTACAATTCGTTAACTCTTGCATCCTGCCTATTATTCTACATTGTTCCCCCTTAGTTTTTCCTGGGCTACTGAAGAAGGACTATACCTTTTTATGCAGGGTGTTAAAGGTTGTCAGCAGGGTAAGCAACGTGCCACTTAACCAGCTTGTTAATATTCTGGTTGACAGGCACTTGGACTCATGTGAAAAATGGGCAAAATCCATTCTATCTAACTCACAACACCCTCTTCATCCACAACTCTCCTTGTATCTCATCAGGCAGGCAGATCAAAAGCCTATAAAGAAAAATTTATGCTCGCACTAGTAAGAAAAAAAACTCAACCCTACCCTACTTAGCTCGTGTTCTGTGCGATAAAGAAAGCATTAGGCTTGAAACCTTTAACTTATTAAATAGTCAGTAGAATAACTGGATCTCGTCTTTCCAACTAGTATCATATATAGGTACAGCGTTTTTCTTTCTCTTCCTTTTCTCTCTCTCTTCCTTCTGTTATGTGCAGCTTTGTTTCTTTCTTCTGCTTACACCAGTAAATATGCTAGAGCCTACTTTTCTAGCACCTTCAAACACTTTGTTTTATTTTGGCTTTGCTACCGACATGCTAATATGTTGTTGTCAAAACTAACTGAGGTTACCCTTAATCTATGTAGAATTTTATTTTATTGTTAATTTACTAACTGGATGCAATACTGTAGTAAAATGCTGAGAATTCCATTCTGTATCGCAAGTACTGTTTTGGAATAAAGCTATTATCATTATCACTAATTAGCCTCAAAAACACTGACATCATGTTTAGTAAACTAGCGCTGTCAATTCAGTTCTTAACTATACTCTTATTATTGTTATGCGTAGTGAATGAAAGTGAAATAATCAGCTGAGCCGCACCGAAAATGAAACCAATGCCTTCCGAACTACTCGTCTGACGCTGTAGAAGCAGAGTTGGAACACCACCTGACACGCTTGTTCATATCCTACTGTGAACTAACCTTTCGTTACACAAACTGTCATCATCGATAGCAGAGATAACAATTCCCAGCCCAAAGCAATCCAAAATACTTTAACCATCAGTAAACTGATCTTAATTAATAAGAAAGGCCAGTCTTTTTACCAATGCACGTTTGTATTAGCTATTTTAAAGCGTATTTATTGAGGCATAAAACCTTTTTACATTTTGAGAAACGTGTTTTTTGCATTTACAAAAAATCTGTAGTCCTCAATTATAATTCCCTTGTAAGATTAATAAGTATTTCACGAAAACAGAGGCATAACTGTAAAGAATGCATTCATACGATGTTAAAAAAACTACACGTAAAAACATCACTATATTACAGTCATCCTGCAAAAGCCTTCAGTATTTCTTCGAAACTAACAGGACTCTTGTCGTAGAAACGTGAAGGAAAGAAAGCTTCGCGAAGATTATCAAAATCCAGGAAACAATATCGAAAGAAGTTGTATATGAGCAGGCTAAAATAAAGAAGAAATTCGAATTTGGCTATAGACGTGCATGCTAAGTTAATTTACAGATGAAAGTATGAGTGATTATAGAGATGATGGAGACGATTTGTAAATCAGATGGGTGGTTTTGATGTGGTTGTGTTCTCTGAGCTGATGGTGGTTTATTTACGAACCTTCCATTGCCCACCACTAGGCCAACGTCTTAAGCGCATACTTCGCTTTGTTGAAGTGAGATTTTTGCTTTCTCCACGAGTTTATTAGTCAGCTCTCCTGGTAAGCTTGAGCATCGTGATTGGTAGTTTTTGTGTGTTTTCACACCCCCGTAGCCTACTTGTATCGGTATTGTTCTTGATTGCTCACTTGACCTGAAGTTTGACCTTATGTGTGTGAAACTGGTAAATTTTGTCTATGTCAACGTCACTGGAATTCCAGTGAATCGTAAATCAATAGATGCATCGATAAAGACAACATTTGCCAACTGATAAGAAGGAATCCTCATGCACAGAAGGTCAGACTTCAGGTCAAAGAAACAGTCACCTTCAATGCAAGTAGCCTAGAGGGTGTGAAGACCCACAAAAACAACCGGTCACGTTCAAAGTCACCAGGAGAGCTGACTAGTAAACTCGTGGAGAAAGCAAAAATCTCACTTCAAGAAACTGAAGTATGCATTGAAGATGGTGGCGTGTAGTGAAATGAGAGCTTTGTAAGTAAAATACCATTCAGCTGAGAGAATGGAGCTACATCAAAATGAGTGATTATAAATGGTTTGAAAATGATTACATGGATCGATACATTGACTAATGTGCGAAATGGGTTAATGTATAGTTTTCTTGCGGAACTAAACGATTATTCCTACTTAGTGTGCAGTTTTCAAATGTATAACTTGTTCAATTATTTTATACAAATATATTTATAAGTACAAACTCAGTTTCTTTGATTTCAGGTGAAATCTCTTAAATGCTTACTCTTCATTTACTGTCTAGTGTGAAGCAACTTTGACCGTAGTAAAACGTTTTTGATTCTTATATAATGCTTAATTAGACTGCTAAGTTATAATACACTGGATATTGGTCTGGATAAAAGGGATAAAATATCTTGCTAACTATTAGTTTGATGGTGTTTGAGAACTGGTCTGAGTTGCAGTCCTCGACTTCTGGAATTGACCACATATTGACTTCAGCTGAAGAATACACGCTTCAGCAGTATACATCCATGACTTCACTTGCCAGGGATCGGACCTAGGATGATCAAGTTTCAAAGTTTTTTTGTAAAATCTTACATTATCTCACTCATGGTGAATCTTAAGTTGAAATACACTTCTTGCTTAAAAGTCAAAATATGCTTCAGTTTGTTGTTGAGTTATTTAATTTAGGTTTAAACAATGAAATTCGGATAGTTTCAAGTGATGTGAAGTCACTGGTTCTACAATGTCCAGAGACTTGGCATAACATAAGAAACATTTTGGTTGGGCTTCATACTATTATGAAAAGCTGCCCATATAGCTCCATACTGAAGATCAGATGTTCAGAAAGGACCATGAACAAGGAATTCTTACATCAAACCTGCCAAAAACCTAACAAATGTTTCGGAGAATATGGGAACAGCTAAGTGAAATCGGGCAACAGATCCTAGTGTAGAACCCGGTGACAATAGCTAGTGATGTGCCATTGGATTCTCTTTTCATGGGTGGAATGGTCAAAGAGCTCGCCTTTCAACTCATTCATTCTGGTTTTAGTTTTCAGTGGTGTCATAAATGCATTTTGCTGAAAAATATCAAGCTGGGGCAAAATAGCTGTCCATTAATTTCCAGTTTCCAATGCTTCTTCACCTAATGATAATTCATCATCAAACCCGAAGCAGATCAGATTACCATACATCAACACTTCAAAATAAAATCGTCATCAACTTACTACAGATCAAAGAAAAATTCACTAAAAATTAAAGATAATACGTTATGCGAAGAAAATGCATTTACTACTATTCTACAATTAGCTTAAAAATTCTCACTGAGTCATATGAAAAAGAGATGTTCAGCGGAGAGACCATTTTCGACGGCAAATTCATTCACATAACTGTACAACCGCACTCAAATACAATTATTTTATTTGTGTGTGTACATGAGGCTTGCCAAGTTTAGATAATTAATCAAGTAATACAAGAATGATCTAATATAGAAACAAGGTTAATTAGACATCAACCTGAATAAGATTAAATTAGTAAGTTAGATGACGTAATATAATTGACTGAAATGTTTCAACTTAGGTCGGGGTAGCAACTAGGTAGAGGTGGGGTAGAGAATAATGCCATATAAAGTAGGACTAATAGTGAGCAGATAAATTGGACGACATAGCATAAATGACTAGAAATTGAGCATTTGTCAAGTCGGTAACAATGGTAATGAGGTGTAGAAATTAAATCGGGTGGGGGTAGAGAACAGGGAAGTTAAAAATGTAAAATATTACATTTGAAAAGACGAAATAATAATAATGAAGAGACAGAAAGAAATAGAATTTACCTGTCGAGAATTGAGACAGATAACGTCCACTGCAAGTGTAGTGGTTGAATGAACTTCTTCAGTATGCAGAGTTCAGGACATAGCAAGTGAATTGCCATTGCTTCCGCAGTTTGGAGCCTGATTCGTACACTTTCAGGGCGATTGCTTCGTATTCTGAAGACGACTTTGAAGTTTGCTTCAGGTGTGGCTTGGGGTCCGGAATCCAACAGATGTTCTACGATAGAGGTGCGTGGGCATCGATTTTGCCCTTGTAAAACAATGCTGGTAACTGTTCGGTGATACTTTTGGAAGTAGAACGCTTCCAAATCTTTCAATAGACCAGTCTGCCTGAGACGCTTTGATCTTTGTGTTCGGTATCCCAGTAATTTCGACCAGATAAAACTCACTGGACCATTATTAATTTATCAATTAATCTGACTCAAATACTAGTCATTCATACAAATGGAATTCTGTGACAGTCTTCACAAAACGATTTCCCGCAGTCATATCCTCTTGGAGGTGATATTGCGCAAACTACTCGATGTTCTACCAAGCTTTGATACCTGATGATAGACGTGAAAAACAGACATTCGCCTCAGCTCTTAACGCAGTATATCCTGGTGATGTTACCCGGTCTTATGATATATTACAAAAGACCAAATATCGAAGGCTGGAAAAAGTCGAATGATTCCCATCCCCATAGCAATCTAAAATCAATATAACTTCCTCTCTAATTGCATTTTTACACTGTTTTATTGCTGTCTAATTTTAGAGAGTTGTTACAGCACTCACTGTTAAGCAAGTTTAGTATACTTGCTAAGGACGCTTTTATGATTTCTTAAACGATTCATAGCGAAAACCAATTCAATGTGACATGTACCTGAATAATTCCACCAACATTTATCACGAAAATCAATTCAATAAAACTATATTTGAATAAGGCATTTAGAAGACAAATGTCGCGAGATGATATCATTTCGTAGTCTCTTTACAACCGCTTTAAAACTAACATAGTTAACAATAATGAAATAAAATAAAGTTCATGACTCAGTTATATAAAACAAAAGTACATACTAATGACCAATCATATTGAAATACGTAAATTATAACATGGGAGGCGAACGTAGAGGTTCAGACTGTATGTGATTAATCCAAAATGCTTCCATCACCTTCAGTAGCCTTGAATTAGAGTTATGTGAAATAATTGTGAAACAGTCATTGATGTTGATTTTGTGACGTGACATTAATAAGTGTTTTGCAAGGGATGATGCTGGATTTCTATTCAGATTAATCGCGTTGGGATTTTCGATATGATTTAGTAGCCATTTTGGAACGTGTTCTTTTTGAAGACATTGGAGCATTCTGTTGATTCTACCTATATATATGTCACCGAAGCTGCAGGTGAATGTAGATACAGTTTGAAGTAGAGTCCACAGAATTTATTCTTTAATCGTAGGTACAGGGATCGAAAATGTTCGGTAAGTGAGAAAAAGAGATTCGGCGGCGTAGAATGTACGTTTGATGGCTGACCGAAGTCTTTGAGCTGTCAACTGCATAATCTGATCACCCTTGAATGGTAAGTTAATAAAGATAGCTCTCTTTGGTACAGAAGCTGTCTTTTCGAGATGTGTCTATCCTTACCGTGACAATTGATGAAGTTTTCCGGATAACCATAGCTAATAAACTGAATGTATATGTCGAAGCTCATCCACCAATGTGTCACTCGTGCATATTTTGTGGCCCTTGAGAACGAACATTTCATTAGGGAACGTTTATACTGGAAAGTAACAAACTGGTGAAATGAAGATGTTATCCACTCCATATCTTTTTAGGAAAAATAGATCGATGAATCGTTCCATCATCTCTGCTGCTGTTATATCCAGGAAACCAAGTTTGTTATTCGATTCTAGTTCGGATGTCACTCGGATATTTGGATGAATATGAGTAAATAGGGTAATAAAGCTTTCATTATGGGTACATTTTTGTTTTGATAAACTTCATATATATCGTTCCATTATTTTTCATTTGATTTTCACTTGGTTTGATTGGCAGGAAGGAAGGAAGTTTAGGAAGTCGTGTGAGTACCTTGATATGATTAAGAGCAATAAATTGTGCTATAAACGTCATCAGTAAGCATTATTGTATAACACTGTGAGACTATCGAAACAAAAATTTACCCATAATGGAGTTATACTCTATCACAGTGCACAAGTTTTATTCTTATATTAATAAAGTTTTCAATAGATTTACTATTATACCAATAATGAGTGTATCATCTACATAACGTTTTTATAGCATAAATTCTCCAAGCATACCTAGCATTTGTCTTTCCAATTTTGACATGAACATATCTGCTAACAGGGGCCAAAAGGGCTCCCCATCGCAACACCATCGATTTGTTTGTATGCATTTTTTTGGAAGGTGAATCTAGTATTTTCTGTACATATTAAGATGAATCTCTGATGAAAGTGACAGGAATAGGTAAGTTTCCATTGCTTGTGATGTAATCGCAAATGAAATCAGCATTTCATGAAGAAGAACATTCGTGAATAAAGATTCTATGTCGATTGAACACATGACCTTTCCTTAATGTTATTATTATCATTATTCAAACACAGTCAAACTTTGTGAAAGATGAGAAAAGAAATTTGACATATGTTATCACTCATATATGAGAAATTAACAAGATTTTAAGGGGTCCGAGTTTAGCTCATATGATAGTGTGAACACAGTTCACCAAGAATAGATACATAATATTTAAGGGGAGAAAGACCAATTTCTTCGAAAGTCAGTGGTACTGAATACACAACAAAAGGTAAATGGGGAATTCATAGTGAATAATACAATTAGTGAAATTCTTATAAGAAATCTACCAAGAGTATTTCTATACAACCTTCCTAACATCATTACTGAGCATACTCTTGTTCACTAAATCATGCTGTAAACAAGATTTACTGTGTTAAATCAATTGTGTGTTGATCACGACACTTTCCTCATATGCAGTTAAATGCATGGGCCATAGCAGAGGAATGTTATCTTACGCCCTCATCAACACCTACCACGATGCTCTACAATTCAACAGTTCACTTCTAGAGCACCAATCACCTCTGCTCATGCGAACTTAGTATCGACCTCATTTAAATTGACATATATAGGGTGATGAAAAGGTTGGAAGGTGTTTGCCTATATCTGTTGAATGAAGTTGAACCGCTATCATGCATCCACTAGAAAGAAACCTGAAGTTTATGTTTTCAAAATATTTTATTCAGTCACCATTACTACCACGATATTAGTGTCAATTTCATTATTATTATTATTTGAATTGTCGAATAGTGAACTTTATGTGATTCTGTGAGGTGAGAGAGAGAGAGAAATCCACTTTCGATTCTCTGTAGCTTCGCTTCCTATGCGTTATCTCCAAATAACTATGAATCACTTAACCAGTTTAGTTATTGACACCTTTCTCGATTACGTAAGATCATTTCATAGTTGTTATTTTTGTTTTGTTTCATCCACTAGTGGTTTTATCTTTGTTTGACTAAGTGACAGTGACCTCTCACCTATGTCGGAAATTAACTTTGTACATAATAAACTCCTTAAATATCTGTGTAGGTTTGATGATAACAAAATTACCGGAAGAGACATTTTCTGTGTGGTTGTGTGTTCTTAATTCACATCTCCAGGTTAGTAATCATACTCAGATTTATAAAGAAATGAGTGGAAGTTAAACATCCAGGCCTTGTTTTATTCTCTGCAGTGTGATGCGGCTAAGTGTTTTGCTTGGGTTGTACAGCAGCATAATTCCGCGCCAGTTTTTGCATTTACGTAAGTCTCCTTTTTTGGTAGTTTGAATATGTATCGTTTATTCTAATTCTCGAGTACTTTTCTATTTCCACACCTTCAGTAATGACGTTATCAAGTCCTCATGACTTCCGATTTCAACTGGTTAAATTCATTTCCAACGACAGGCATGAAATGGACAATATCATCATTTCACCAGTTTTTTACTGTCCAGCATAAACGTTCCCTAATGAAATGTTTGTTCTCAAGGGCCCAAAAATATGCACGAGTGACACATTGGTGGATGAGCTTCGACATATACATTCAGTTTTATTAGCTAATGGTTATCCGAAAACTTCATCAATTGTCACGGTAAGAATAGACCACATCTCGAAAAGACAGCTTCTGTACCAAAGAAAGCTATCTTTATTAACCTACCATTCAAGGGTGATCAGATTATGCAGTTGACAGCTCAAAGACTTCGGTCAGCCATCAAACGTACATTCTACGCCGCCGAATCTCTTTTTCTCACTTACGAACATTTTCGATCCCTGTACCTACGATTAAAGAATTAAATTCTGTGGACTCTACTTCAAACTGTATCTACAAGTTCACCTGTCGGTGACATATATATGGTGAATCAACAGATGCTCCAATGTCTTCAAAACACGTTCCAAAATGGCTACTAAATCATATCGAAAATCCCAACGCGATTAATCTGAATAGAAATCCCATCATCCCTTGCAAAACATTATTAATGTCACGTCACAAATCAACATCAATGACTGTTTCCAATTATTTCACATAACTCTAATTCAAGGCTACTGAAGGTGATGGAAGCATTTTGGATTAATCACTACAGTCTGAACCTCTACGTTCGCCTCCCTGTATAATTACGTATTTCAATATGATTGGTCATTATGTACTTTTGTTTTATATAACTGAGTCATGAACTTTTTTTATTTCATTATTGTTAACTATGTTAGTTTTAAAGCGGTTGTAAAGAGACTACGAAATGATACCATCTCGCGACATTTGTCTTCTAAATGCCTTATTCAATTCATCAAAGGTCCTAATTGTTTCAGTTGATTTTATTTTTTTCTAAAATTCAGCTTAGTAAGTGTTCCTTTTTGAAAATATTTTTCGCAAAAATTCACTGAAACTTGGCATTTTAACGCATAAATCTTTCTCATTGGTGCAGTTTAATGTTTTTTGTTGTCATGAGGTGTTTCATCAACATAATATATCTGAGAATATTTATACTGCCGCAAATTTATAGTAACAGGTTTCATTAAAATATCTTCACATATTCCTATTTGTTACTCTTTTAATGTCGATGTCGCTTTGTAGGGAATTTAACCAGTGAGAGTGAGAGAGAGAGTTGTATTTAATAAGAGAAGATGTATTCTTGTAGCTCACGCTTTTATCAAGATGGGTCTCCTCTCTTTCTTAATTTTTAGACTCACATTTCTTTTAATGACTCACTCCATAAGTACGATATAAACCACTTCCAAAATATCATTACGCGATATGTACATATAGATATATGGGGAAGTCTGAAATGATTAGAATGATCGAATTACAAGACCAGTCACCACAAGCGCGAGAAATCCGACCAAGTTAAATTTTAAGCACCACCAACAGTCAATCAGCGAATGACCACAATTGGTCCGGTTAGGTTTAGCACGTGAGTTCAAGTTGTATAGTGCTTGGTTCCTACGAAATGCCTGTTCTAACGAAGTTGTGCTTGCAGTTCGATGAGGATAAGGTTTTCAGTATTGTCCGGATTTGGGGTTGCATAGGAAGGAGGGGATTTGTTCATGTAGGGGTGTCATAAGCATAAAAAGTTTCATTAGGTCGATTGACGGATATGTCCACCACTGTGCAATTTGTTTGAGACGAGTTAGTATTCGGGAAGGTAAGCTGGTAATATCAATACTTCGTAGGAACAGTTTTTGCCAGGTCTCATCTCTCCTAACCTAGATCTTGTATATTTGTAATTGCTGGGCTTTAAAACAGCCCATGAGAGGTGCGGCTGCTGAAACCCAAAAGAACCTCGTATCAACAGTTCGTTGGTATCAGTAAATCGCCTCTTAGCAAATGGAGAGAATTACTTCGTCGTCTTACACGTGGACGCAAATGTGTTACTGAACAAAAATTACAACCATGGTCGTGAGCGAGCCAACAATTCTTTTATTCTTATATTATATTATTTATTCGTTTGTTCTGATATCAATGTTTGGAAGATCAGTTTATATGACACCTCACTGCGGAAAGGATTCGTGAAGAGAATACCAGACAGAAAGTCTACTACCATAATACCCACTGTCACTCGATTTGTGAAACAGGGATCCATAGTACATACTGATGAATGGAATGGTGATAACTCACTTTCATCTGTTGGATATATTCACCACAGAGGGAACCATTCTAGTGATTTGGTAGGTCCCATTACAGGAACACACACCAATTCTATAGAAGGCTTTTTGGGAAGGTTTAAAAAAGGATATCATTTATAGTCATTTAGATGAATATATGTATAGAACATGGTGTAGCTTTTCAACTGATCGGCCTATGCTAAGCTAAAAAATGTTTTTATCCCATGTCAGAGAAACATACCCTGTGTAAAGGTTTTATGCAGTTTTTATGCCTTTTTTCCATAAATACACGCTTTCCTTAATCAAAAGTGCCTCCTTTATGTGATTGGTCCGTTGAAGGTTGTTCGCTGATCAGTAGTTAGTGGTGCTGAAAGTTTAACTTTGCCAGAAATCCAAAGTAAGTAGATTAAAAACATGCCAAACTGGTAGTGTTGTTTCAATTACAGGTGGAATGGATGAGGATATCAAGGTTGGGGTTAAAAAATGGAGCATAGAAGCTAACCACACTCAGTACAACGAAACAGACCCTAATTCGCAGCACTTATGCCAATTCATAGGAGGAAACTTACCCACTTTCGACTCTCTCTTTCAGACTGAAACATTCAAATACAATGTGACAGTTATGAAAATTCTCTAACAAATAAGAATTGATCAAAAACACACTAGTACTTCATTCAGATGACTCTTTTTGATGTTTATTTTGTTTCAAACATTTTGCTTTCCAGTTTAATCGCTGTACGAAATATCATTCATATCACAAACAGCTTATATCACATTTTACGGGGACGCCTTGTCTCTTTGCTGCTGTTCACCGTTTCATGTTTTCATGTCAATATACAAAACATACTGAGAAGAGAGAGTTTATTAATTGTGCTACTTTGGCAGATTTTCTTAACACATCTAGAAATTATTGATATTTCATGACAGCAAAATATATTCTTCGCGTTTTGTAGGTGTTCATTACCTCTCAACTATAACTCTAATGAGTAGATATCATTATCCATAACTCACAACCAAAGAAAATGTCTAGTTTCAAAACATCACTGGCATCACTTTGCTGGTAACGACTTGAAAAGTAGTCCATCTTGATATACCTGAAGATGCGTTCCTTTCTCACGGAGAGATGAAAGAAAATTTTCGTGTTTTACTTATTTTTCATTAGTACGTTTTCTACCTCATTGTACTATCTAGAAGGATAGAAATGTTATACAGTGTGAATGAGAAAACACTAAATCACACAACTCGCCATAACACTAATGAAATATCTGCACTTTGACCCCATTCTCTGGCTGTTTTGTCAACGAAACGTAAAAGACGGATCAGTGATAGCTTTCTCTGTACAAACTGATCATTCAAAATCTTCCAACAACACCGTTTAAACGTACTCTTAACTTTTGTCTAGTTCAAGTAAAGTATAAAAATAGCATACTAAACGATACAACACGCTTCCACACTGCATGCGTGGAAATTGGATTCATGAAAACGAGAAAATGAGATGATAATAATAATATCAATGAGAAATATGCGTTTCAGTGGTATGCCTTCATGTTCATGTAAAATAAATAGCTGTAACCAAAGATAATTTAGTGATACATTGTACTCAGTACATTGATATAGATGAGCAGACGATTTACACAGAAATGATTCGTGTGTTATTCTACTTGAATTAAAATCTATCCTTAACAATGCATGAGAACATTAAGGTTTTCAAAAGAATGGTTACTGAAGAAAGAATATTCTTTTCGATAACCTGCTCTCCGTCTGCTTTTTCAGTTATATGCATCCATAAAAGCGGATGAATGAATTAGTGTTATTATCAACAACATTAAAGTTGTTTAAATAACATCGACTCAGTAATAATAATGTCAATGGATTACAGCTCCGCAGCGTCAACATAACAAAACACTGAATGTCAGAAAAACTGTGAAAAATAATAATGCTGATTCGTGAACTTATAGTCTCCACTGAAGGCCAGTTAGGACAGTAGTAGTGACTAGCTGGACTTGTTTCTTCTACACAGGGAGCACCAGTTTTTTTCAAGGGAATCGTAATAACCTGTAGTGTTTGGAGTATCCGGAACCTGGATGCTTTTCGCAGTGTATTTAATATCCCGTAGACGATACTGAAGGATTCTTGAATTCTGAATGGCTTTGTGGCCAGCCGATTTGGATCAGGTGGTCTAATATCGAACTGTTGATGGCTTTTACTACACCTTTATCTAGTCATACTAGTGGTTGTCCCCAGAGAGCATCGAAAATCCCAGCTTTTTTCCTGTGCATTACAAAAGAAATTTAATAAAGACCCTCAGCCACAGTGTTAGAGCTATATGCTCCGAAGAGGTAATTGAAGACGAACTAAGGGCTGTATATGATACCCTGATTGATTGAAAATAGCTATTCAGACAAAGTTATCAAGAAACACGTGAAAAAGAAATCGGGAAAGGACTATTATCTATCTCTAAATAAGAAGCCTTTATATATACAACCATAGTTCAAGAGTGACCAGCCTAATGAAATAATTGCTACCAAGTTATAAAAATTCATTCAATGAACTTCTAATTCTGATAAAATACAAGTCATATTTTTCACACGACTGATTGTGATTCCTCGATTAGAAGATGAAGTACCCATACTAGCTACCTTTTCCTATATCTAGCGGTTCAACTGCGCTTGCGATAGGGCGAGTTATATTTGTCGTCGCTCTAGGAACTTGATTTGACGCTATGTATTTATAACTGTGGAACCTGATGATGAAGTTGTCAAAAAGAATAATCTTTGTTCAGTAACCATTTTCTTGAATTAAAGTTTCTCATGTAAATATGTGTCAAAACAATTAGATAATCTGTCTTATGTATAAATGCTTACCTATTCCACAAGGCACTAAGAAACAAGAATCGAATCAGAAAATTTCGTATTATCGTGTTTCAATTCAGCATAGTATTTAACTTCAATAATGGATGACCAGTGATACTATTTGCAAATTTGTGGTTGCTTTCCCCTCAGTCTGAAAGCTTAACAACAACCATAGAGAATACAGCCGAGTAATGCAGAATGTGTTAATCCAATAGGTAAATGAATTACAATAGTTCCTGTTCGCAGAAACTGTTGGTTCTGGAACATCTATAAATGAGTAGTTATCTTCTTAGTTGTAATCTACTGAACCTTTCTCAGTGCGTTGACGTTACTTAGTAAAAAATTCAAGACGATTTAAAGTCATACATTTACCATGACATTTGTATTCTTGTCTAATGCATATACAACGCATTAATATTAGTATATGACTTATCTATCAGATGAATAGTTCTAAACCCTTATAAATGGGATTAGCATCTATCCACCTTAAAGTTTACAGGAAGTGTACATGAGGGGAAATTTTATAGGTAATCAATACCAAAATTCATAAAATTGACCTATTGTGAATGCACACACACCCACATTCCCTAAGTAACTATTGAAACATTTTCAAGGTATTTTGCATTTTATAATGCATAATCCTTGACGGTCAATATGTTTTTGTCGTCAGACTCTTCCACACCCTTATTTATCTATGGGTATTCGTTTGACTACGAAGAAAGAAACCTGCTATGATATCACACTGAACTTAAATGGTTTAGTGGTGATTCGGTTACGACGCTTGGCTGATGCAATCCAAAGTACTGCCTAGGTTAGTAACCAGAAGTAAGCTGTGAGCAGTTGAAAGTTTAGGCGTAAGGTTGGCATTTTTATCCTGTAGAAAAGAAACAACAAAACCACTCATGTATTATGAAAGCTTCAGCCTGAAGCCTAATGTGCCACTCGGAGTAAAATGAAAAGCGAAAAGAAAATATCAAACCAAGAGCATACATAGATTATTCATTTATTTATAGACAAGTAACAACACACCTTGCATCACCTTTAAGAAACATTAGAAGTTTTTGTGTAAAAAGAAACTGTTACAAAAAAGCGTTAACTAAGATGAATAAATATAGCATATTTATAGTGTCCATTAAATTGAATGGTTTAAATGAAGAGCCTCAATAAAGAGAAGAGCCTCAGCCTGCGTTACTGACTTCAGCATAAAGTGAATTTCTCTTTAATAGGTCAGCACTGAATATGTTATCTACATACGCAGTGAAAGCATTACAATTAAAATATTCAACTCAAATAACACAACCACACAAAAACGTCTGTCAAATCAAATAGGATAAATGTAAGGATAATGCAAACGCACAGAGATACTGAAAAAAATAATTCGCAGTCCACACCTACATCATGGATTGAAGTCCAGTCGCATTCTCCAGGAAGACATTGTGATAATCGACCTATATTTGAGATCTCTGATACATATGTCAAACAAAATATTTCTAGTTTATGTAATTCGTTTTCATATTAATTTCTCAACCATATCATAAATGTACAGGTAAGCAAAGGATTTACTTTTTCTGAAAGTGAACACCCCACTATGAATTGACATTTCATATTGTCTGATATACGAAGCTATACAACACATTCTGTGCCTTCTTCTTTTGTTTCGATGTTAAACACCCTACGCCCCAATCTTGGAGATGCATTTCAATCCAAAGAGAATTAAACATCTACAACCTGAACTATGCAATAATTGTCACAATATTAAGCTTAATCATATTAGCAATATAGATTAATAAAATATCATGTCGAATTCACAATTTCCCAATTAGTTAAGTAATTTGCAATCTATACAATTCAAGTGTTGACATTTCACATTAGTTTCCTTTGGAAACCACGTAACCTCTGTTACCATTAATGGTAATCAAGGAGGTAAGCATCTTTACATTCAAAATCCATACAACTGATTGACTCAGATGAATACTACCCAAATTAACTAGAAGTGTTTGCTGGCCAGCAAGGTTGTGCTGATCTATAACACCAGATGGCTAGTTTGCTCGTTGGGGGTCGAGTTCATTACACAGGTGTACCTGGGATAGCTCAACATACAGAATCGAATTAGTTTATCAGACTGACTGGTTGAGTGGCATACAACTTACTCATCTCATTTAATCAGTAGTAGTACGCAGTTTTGTAAAAAAAATATCGTTTCAATCTACTAAGAATACAACAGAAACTTACATGATACCAGCAATAATGAAACAACAATTGATATTAAGATGAATTCTGAAACTTTAAACATTAAAATTTATTCCAGCTTGGTTATAGAACTGAGAGTGAGTTACATCATACAACTCATATGATTTATATATCTCAAAACTTGTACTGTATATATGTGTTTGTGCATGTGTGTGCGTGTGTGTGTGTGTACTGTTACATTACAAATAAGTGAAGGGTGAACTTATGCCTACAACGGTAAATGAGAATTTTAACACTTCAACAAGTGTTAACTTTTGATTCCTCAATAATCAAAAACTATTTGTTCTTCTCTGAGTGCACATCGTCAACGACTGTATCGACTTTATGAGGATTTGATCAAGAAAGATGTATTTTTGTGACTCCGATGCTGACGATACAAATATTCACCTAATAATTTCATCAGCTAGCATCAATCTACAAAACGAACTCATCTCTTCTATTGAAATTCAATATTATAAAAAAAACATACGTCAGCTAACAGATCTCTTTTCATAGCTTCATTTTAAAGCTGTACACTCATTTGGGGAGTTTAAATATGCTTAGTTAATTGGTAGTAAATGTCAAATGTTATTGTCACTTGGTATCAAACTAAATCAAGGTGTTTGCGTATGAACAACGTGTCAAAAGAAGTGCATAATATGACGTAATCAAGATGAATGACAATCAGTTAGTTAGGTGATGAATAATCATTGGAAAATAGGTCACAAAAATAGAATTAAAAAGTAACAAATAAAAATTTGAAAAAAGGACTACATAAAGTTTATTCTATAACTCTTCAGGATAACAAAAGACTAATCCTAAATCCATGGCTTGATATAAATATATACATTCAGAGTTATATACTATATATATATATAACTCTGAATGTAGCTACTTCTGATGTTGAGTGCCTTAAAGTATTATTGTTCTCTAGAATTAAGCTGCTAACTGTTCTGCGACCCTCTATGCCATTGAGTGTTCATATGCGTAACTGGAAAATGTCCTGATGGCGCGGTTTATGCACTTGGCTCCACAGGAACAGGTAAATATCATGAAGTGGATATAACTAAATCATTTCAAATTATCAATAGACAGAATAACTCAATTCTCCTCAAATTTACTGAAGCAATCTCTATCAAAGGTCTGAAACCCAATGAATGTGTTCAGAAAGAAGTAGTTAAGAGTCTTTACTTGCCCTGCTAACTGGATTTCTTTATTCCCTCTTTTATTTGATTAAAGATTCTTCAGTTTTAACCTCAGTCTCCTTTGATGTAATGAAATTTTACTTCTCTTCTGCTTCTATTATTTCAGTTGAATTCATTACACTGTTACTCAGTTTATTGGTTACTCGTTAACTCAATTACCACTTATCCTTATAACGTAACACCTCTACTTTTGTATGCACACACCGATTTTCATTTAAACTTGAGTGACAACCGCATGATATCACTCAATGTCAAATCTCTCTTCACAAAAGTCCAGATTACGGAGACGAACTGATTCTTATGCAAGTACTTGAAAGACAACGACTTGAATATCGGAATAACCATATCCAAGTTAAAAGAAATTCTACTTAGATGCACTTTGAACGTTCAATTCATATTCATTAGTTCTATTTATAGACAACAAGATAGTGTGGCTATGGGTTCACATTTAGGCCCGTTGCTTGCAGATATTTTCATGGGAAGTTTGGAAACCGACATTCGATAACTTCTTTCTGTACAAAAGGTACGTCGATGACACTTTTATCATGTGTGATAACAAACGTGACCTGAATAATTTCCTTCAAGTTTTTTTAATAGCTGACATTCAGTCATCAAATTTTCAAATGAAGCAGAAAGCAGACAGACAATCTTATTTACGGACACCTAACTAACAAAGAAGACTGATTGCATTGCTTAGAATCTTCAAATTTTTTATTCTACACAGTATTTTTGGTACAACTATGGAATTTTCAGCATGTGATATCGGTTGTCCAAATTTAGCAGGCCGATGTACACCTGATATCAGTGGTGAAGTGGATAGGATTTTGTAATTACGATAGCAAGTGAGAAAAGCAACACTTAAACGTAAAGTAGTAGAAATCATAAAAAACGTCATGAAATCGTAAAAAGTCAAAAATTAACGTTTGTCAATGAAAAGAAGAACAGAAGAAGAAGTAGAAAAGAAAATTGTGATAGGAATTTAAAGTGCTAATTTTTATGTAGGATTTGTTGGCCTTATTATATTGTTTTTATTGTTCCCTTGGGTTCCTAGTGGAACACAGGGCTTCGACTGCACGTCTCCACTTGCTTCTGTCTTCTGCGATACTTTTCACCTGCATCCATGTTAGTCCATGCTGTTTCAACTCCCCTTCACACGATCTCTGCCATGTCACCCTTGGACGTCTCACTCGCCGCTTCCTTTCGGCCTGGTTCCACTCGAGCAATGGCCTGACGCGCACGCGATGTCACCCAGCCGCCTCCTCAGCGAGTTTCCAATCCAACTCCATTTTCTCCTGCGTATTTGTTGGGCAGCGATTGGTTCTTGTTTTGTTTGGTCCCATAGTTTCTTGTTGGTGATTCTTTCCGGCCGGCCAACTGATTTTCAGTTCAGTATAGAGCGAAGACAGCTGTTAATAAAGTCCGTGTTAATGTATTTGAAGATTGGACGATCAATTCATGGTTGTTTGCTCAAACACAACTTCCCCATAATTTTCGCGCGTGATCAATCTGCCAGTCATCGTCTCATCGGTTGCTGTTCAGAAAGAACCTCAAAAACTGTCAGAAGTAATATCGTGATTTATTGTTGTAATATTTGTTCTTAGACCTTAGTTTATTATGCTGCTTATATGTTGGTGTTAGAATAGAGAATTCTCGAGTCGCCAATCGGTGTTCTGGTTTTTGCGTCCGTTAGCACTAAGGGTTTCTGAAAAGCTCCCAGCGACAGCGAGAGGCCCGGCGTAGCAAGAGCTAGGCATTAACGGTTTTTGAGACGTGATTGACAAACTGCAACAGGCTGTTGAAAATATTCTTTGTGACCCGCCCGCCAAGTTTCTCATCCGTATAGAAGAACTGACTTGACGTTTCTGTTGAAAATCCGACTGAATTTTGTTGTTGATGCTGAGTGACAAAGATCTCCAGATTGGTTTCAGGTTGATGAGTGAATGTGTTTCTCGCCTTCTCGATTCTCGATTTGACATCCTCGTCCGTTCCGACTATCTGTAGTTGAGACAATGCTCCCTAGATAAGTGAATGAAGTAACCTCTTTCAAATCCCTCCCGTTCATGGTGATTGGCGCTGGATGTTGCTGCTGTTTTTGTTGTTGTTATTGTTGGTTGGTTATTTTCATAACCTCCGTTTTGTCTATGTTCACCTGGAGTCCTGTCTTCACTGGCTCCTTCTTCGACCAGTTTGTCGGTTTTCGCTTGTAAGTCTTCGGTTGTGTGACATTAAGCGTAAATCATCCACGCGCGAAATCCAGGTCTTCTAGGTTCTTCACGTCGGTCCAGGATATCCTTGTCTTCTCGTTTCCTACTGTTTGACGCATAATCCAGTCAGTCCACCACAATTAGGAATATCATTGGTGATAGTAAGCACCCTTGTCTGACTCCTGTGTTTACTCCAAACGCCTCGCTGAGTTTTCTGTTGTGGATCACTTGACATGTGCCGCCGTTGTCGTACAGCTGTTGAATAAGTAGTCGAGTAGTTTCCAAATTACTTCACGGTCAACGCTGTCGAAGGCCTTCTCAAAGTCTATAAAGTTGAGGTAGAGGTTTGATTACCATTCCATGCTTTGTTCTGTGATGATGATGCGTAGATTTGCAATTTGGTCAGAACATGATTTGCCTTTCCTGAATCCAGCTTGTTCTGGTCGGAGTTCTGTATCCAGTGCCTCCTTGATTCTCTCCAGGATGATGCAACTCAGGATTTTACTTGGCGTCGACAGGTGCATGATTCCTCGCCAGTTCTTGCAGAGTGAGGCGTAAGTCGCCCTTCTTTGGTAGTTTCACGAGGTCACCTTTCCTCCAGTCAGTAGGCACCTTTCCCTCCTTCCAGACCTTTTGCAATAATGGAGTCAGCATGTCTGCTGTAGTCTCTGGGTCCGCTTTCAGTGCTTCAGGGGGTATTCCATCTGGTCCGGTTGCTTTTCCAGCTTTCAGAAGCTTGATTGCGTTCAAGACTTCAGCTCTCGTTGGAGGATTGGTGTCAACTTGCAGTTGTGTGCACGCTGTTGTTGGTATTTGTGGACGGGTTGCAGGTGATGGTCGGTTCAAGAGTCCTTTGAAGTGATCCGTCCATTGTTTAGTCTGTCTTTCTTCCTTGGTAATTGGGTTCCCTTGGCTGTCTTTAGTAGGTTTCACTTGTGTTGATCTCTTCCCGGATAGAGATTTGGTTATCTGATATAATGTCCTCAGGTCCCTTTTGCCTGCTGCCTTCTCAGCTTCAGTGGCCAGGTTGTCGTAGAATTGTCTTTCGTCTTTTCTAGCACTCTTCTTCACTTCTTTGTCTAGTGCTGTGTAAGTTGAGCTCAGCGTCTCTTTCTCATGTCCGTCTTTGCATTGAATCATTTTTCCTTTCACTATTCTCCTCTCCTCTAATGGCTTCCAAGTGTCCGTTGAGAGCCATTCCTTGTCTTGTCTCTTCTTTCTTCCTAGAACCGTTGAACACGTTTCGTTGAGAATCGCCTTCAGAGACTTCCAATGTTCTTCCACGCATGATTCTTCAGTGATGTCGCGTAGTGTTTCCTGCTTTGCTCCGACAGTGTCTTTTGTGGTTGTTTCCTTCAGTAATTGAGTGTTGAACTTGCATTGTGGCCTATCCCCAGCTATCCCCGAGGCTTTTAGTTTCACCTTGAAAGTCCCTTGTACTAGATAGTGGTCTGAACCCACATCTGCTCTTCTCCTCCACCTTGTGTCCAGTAGGCTCCGTCTCCACTTTCTTGAGATTGAAATGAAGTCTATCTGGTTTTTTGGTGTGTCCATCTTGTGAAATCCATTTCACCTTGTGCACATCCTTGTGTTTGAACACACTGCCACCAATCACCAAATCATTGAACGTGCAGGAGTCTGAGAAGAGTTCACCATTGTCGTTCATTTCACCGAGGGCCTTACGACCCATAGTGAGTCCTCTTCCTGTATTGTCTCATCCCAGCTTCGCATTCATATCACCCATGAGGATTTTGATATCGCCATTTGGGACGTTGTCTATTACTGTTTGTGGTTGTCTGTAGAACGCCTCCTTCTTCTCTTGTTCTGAGACGTTTGCAGGCGCATAGCATTGAATGGCTGTAACTTTCCTTCCTTTTGAGTTGAACCTGGCTGTCATTATCCTGGAGGAGATTGGTTCCCACTGCATGAGAGCTTTGACTGCTGTTGGTGACATCATGATGGCCACTCCCTCGATGTGCTCATGATTGTCCTCTGGATGGCCGGAATGGATTACTGTCTCCCCAGTTAGCAGTTGGCACCTAACACACCCGTTCCATCTGCTCTCGCAGATTCCCAACACTTCTATTCTATATCTCCTCATTTCTGCCTCTACCTGGGCAGCCTTTCCAGCTGGCTTCGTACATTGTACGAACATTCCATGTACCCATCCTTATTTTTGCTTTCATCGAAAGAAGGCACATCGGCTGACTGGCTTCCCGAAGGCTTTCACCAGCCTGCGTCATTTCACTTCCACGATTCCAGCGAAAAATAAGGTTACTGTATATATTTTTGAAATTTTTAATATATTGGTGCATTGAAGTTTCTCTAGCGATTTGGTTGAGTTTTGGGCGTGGAGTTGCTAGCACCACGCCCCAACCCTCCCTCTTTTTATCCGGTCTTGGGACCGGCTAGAAACCTAGCGAGCTAGTAATCTACGCGAGGTTACAAAGTAGGATAAGCGACGTTGAATCCTATCATAAGTGATAATTCACCTGGATACGAAACAAACATTACCTAACATTTTAATTAGTAAGGTACTTGTCTATCCTACTAAATTTTTAGTTTCCTAAAGAAAGCTTGGGATGGGTAAGCTTTAATTTTTAAAAACATGGATGATATATATATGATGTTTTGCGTATTTATACTTCCGATAAAAATTTGCATAAACAGTATAAGTTACCAAGATAGCGGGTGAAAATGAGAATATTGCAAATAATGTTTAACTATATTTCTGGCTAGATAAACTATAGATAGGTGTTAGACTGTTGCGATTTCATTGTAAACTGACTTCGGTTATAGAAGCAACATAAAACCAGAGTGGAGTACTGCAAAACCGTTTCGTCCTTGTTTGGGAGTGTTCAATAGTACTCACCCAGGTAATAGTTCATCTATCCTGGCTGGTATGAAAACAAAGTTTACCATAGAAGATGGTTTAGTGTGATGACAAATTGTTGCTTTGAACGCATACAACTTCCTAACTGCCAACTAAGGCTTCCACAAACTTTAGGATACTCCCTCCCCCAAACACAATTTATAGATAGGTTTAAAAAACGTGTACACGTCAATTGTTTGTCCTATATCCTCTGTAATATGTTTCGCAATAGAGGATCAAGATTACCGTCTATTCTGTTTGCTTCGCAAGCTATTTAGGATTGTGCTCTGAATCAAGCCCTCAAATTCAGAGATCGATGAGTGCTCCCTTCTATGTATGTGTGTGCACATGTATATTCACATTGGTTAATACAGTGGGATATGACATCATTTTTCGCATGTTCAAAGTGCTAAGGTGTTTGCATATTTTGGCTTCACATTCTCAAAGAAAGTCTTTTTAACCACAGCGTTCAACACTTGCCGAGTTACCAAGCTGCTGTGATCCTCCATATAGGTTAGTTTGATATATACATTTTACTTAGTGGTGAGTTGAGGAGTGAATCTTAGTGTTCTGAATACTTTATATCTCCTAATAAACTTGTCCGAATAATTGTTATCAACCAGAGTTTGTTCCAACTTTCTTTCTTTCTTTCCCATCAAGTTTGTCTTGAGTGCATATTCGTTGGATTCTACTGAAGAGGCACCCTTCTCACTAAAGCTCTTTTGAACCGTTACAGTTTTGTAGAGAGATTCCTAAATGGGTAAGTTTACTTTTATAACAAACATTTTTTTCAAAATGGAAAGTAACTCAGCAAATGATTCCGTAAATATATTTACACAGATTTCACTTATTTTCAGTATTGTACTAAAATGTGTACTTGTTAAGAAACAAAATTATCTGTCAATACTACTGTCACAAAAAATTTTTGCTTTGATCAGTTATCATAATACCTAAAATCGATTTTTTATAAGTAAATGGAATAAACTGAAAACACCTGAGCTGTTAAGTTTTGTTTGAAATGTTAAAAAATCACCAACATGAACACCCAAAACTCCGTTGGAAGTTTATTCCACAACCATTTGTGACATAGTGTCATTTCGTAGTTCCAATATAAGTTGTAATACAACTAACTGGGTGATAATGTTTAACAAGTGATTTGGCAGTATGAAATAAAGAGACATATAAGTGACAAATTAGGTTTTGAAAGCCAGTCTGAAAGGAGAACATTTTCTTCAAGTCCTTGCAGTTATAAAATAATTTCACTCAGTATAATAATAGTCAGTTATCCGGTTGACAAATATTCTTACTTAGAATGTCACATTAGTTATTGTGAAAAAAAAGTTGTATTCAGGTGTTGGTTTGACTGGATTTGGTTGATTGGTTACAGGATTTCATCATGAAGTGACATTGGTTAGTGGAGCATTGGAAAACCAGTTGTTTCATCAGCCTAGTTTGGGACACTTAATCAGTTCGCCTGTACTGAAGCTCGAACCCAGGACACTCCGTTGTATTTTCTCTCCAACTTTACGACCAAAAAATGGAATTTTTCATCATCTTCATTCATCTCCATCATGAAAGTGACGCTTTTATGTGCATTGTTGAAAGAGTCTAATAAAGACGAAGCGTGACTCAAATCGTTGCATACAATGAATGTGTTATCAACTTATTTTATAGTAGGCTGTTGTTTCGCTAATTGTACACTTGAGCTTTGTCTCTTCCGGACTGGCCATAAAAATATCAGCTAATACTGTACCCAGTGGACTTCCCATTGCTATCAACTGGAATTGTATATCTTGTCGATTTTTTGGACATATTCAGCCTTGTTCATCACTTCCACGCCTGAACCTTTGTCTAGTTGCAGTATGACGATATCTTCATTGTTGAGCAGACGTTTAATTGCTCTTTCATGTTCTTTCGTCATGATTCTAAACTCTTGAATTGATGAGCATAAGTACTGGTTAGATATATCAAATAGTCTTGATTTGAACCAACTTCTCATATCTTCACTAACGGGATATAAGTTGGTTAACTGGTTGAATAAATTCTCGAATTGGGCTTCTGTGTCTCTTTTATTCAAAATTTTCTTAGTACATGGAACTCGAATCTGACTGAAAGTTCCTCGATTTCAGTTTGATTTAGCTTGACACTTGACTGATTGATTTGAGTCACGCTTTGTCTCTGTTAGACTCTTTCAACAATGTACACGAAAGCATCATTTTCAAGATGGAGCATGAATATGATGAAAAATTCCATTTTTTGGACGTACAACGGCACACTCGAAAGATCTGTATATCGTTAAGACACATGAAGTGGTCTTTACTTGCGTTTCAATAGCTTCTGCCCAATGAGATACACAAACGAACTCTGGTGAAAACGCTTTTCTCTAGAGCGAAGAGAATATGTTCACCAAACAAACTAGACAGTGAACGAACGCTTCTTGAGAAATGCTTGAAAGAAAATGGTTACCCACAAAGTTTCATTAACAAATATGACAAGAATGAAATCAAGAAGCTTGATACAGTTACAGTCAGTAAGAAGCCTATTTTCATCAAACTCGACTACAATGACGACGATATTATGAGAATGGTAATAAAAGATTAAGTGCAGCCCTGTCTAGGACGTATTCTGCAGCGTTATTGGTCTCTCTTTCTTGAACAACCTCCTCACTGGTGCAGTCAAAGATTGACAAGTACCCCTCACATATTACCCCCAGCTGTGTATACCGATCCAAATGTATCTGCGAGAGCAGTTACATTGGAAGAACAGAGAGGAGGGCCCACGTCAGATTCTGCGGACATGTACCAAGGAACCGAATTGTTTAAGCTCTTCAATCGCCAAACACCTGAATGACATAGGACAACGAGTAGATGTGCTGGAATCATTCAAAATATGATAGAGAAGATTTGTAGCTCAGGTGGATAATTTTGATGTGGTTTTGTTCTCTGAGCTGGATAGTTAGTTTGCGAAGCTTTCATCACCTTACTGGGTGACATCTTCAGCGCATACTTCAAATTGAAGTGAGCTTTTAGGTTTCTCCACGAGTTTATTAATCATTCCTCCTGGTGACCTTGGACGTGATTGGTTGTTTATGTGTGTTTTCACACCTTCTAGGTTACTTGTGTTGGAACTGATTGTTTCTGTGACTTGAACTTTGGCCAATCGTGTGTGAAGTTTCTTTCTTATTGGTTGATAAATTTTGTCTATCTCGATGTGTCTATTGATTGATGATTCACTGGAATGCCAAGCTTCTAAAAATTCTCTAGCATTCTTGTTATTTCCTTTGTCTAATATTTGAACGTTGTCCCAGTCGAATTGATGTCCGTGGTTGTCTGTGTGTAGTGAAATGAGGGAGTGTATATCATGTCTTTTGACGGCTAGCTTATGTTCGTGGATACGAAGACGAAGGGGACGTCCACTTTGGCCAATGTAGTGTTTTTCACAGTTGTTACAGTTTATTTTGTAGATGATGTTGGTTTTGTCTTCTTTTGCTGTTGAGTCTTTTGGTTGACATAGAATTGAGTGCAGCGACTTTGTTGGTTTGTGTACGACGTCAATTCCTAAAGGTTTGAAGAGTCTTTTAGTGATTTCTGAGATATCCTTTATATATGGTAAGGCGATTTTCTTTGTGTTTTCCTTGGTGGCTTTTGTTTTGGTAGGTTGGCTTGGGGGTATATGTCTCTTGATGAAATTCCGGGATATCCATTCTTTTGGAAGACGTCCATGAGATACTTTTCTTCAATTTTTCTTAAGGTGGGAGTGCTGCAGTGAGTCCTTGCTCTCTTGAATAGTGTTTGTATGCAGTTCCTTTTGTGTGCTATTGGGTTGTTGCTGTTGTAATTCAGTATTTGGTCTGTGTGAGTTGATTTCCTATAAACTTGAGTTTCTAATTCTCCTGTAGTTGTTCGCCTGACTAAGACGTCCAAAAATGGTATTTTGTTCTCGGATTCCTCTTCTCTTGTGAATTTGATGTCGTTGAAGACGTTGTTTATTAAGTTGTGAGTTTTGTCTAATTCGTTTCTTTTGATTATTACAAATGTGTCGTCGACGTAGCGTATCCAAATCTTGGGTTTGATCTTTGGTAGAATTATGTTTTCGAGTCTTTGCATCACTGCTTCTGCAATCAAACCTGATATTGGCGATCCCATGGGTGTTCCTTTGACTTGTTCATATATTTGGCCGTTGAATTGGAAGTATGTTGTTAGGCATAGATTTATGCATTCCATCCAGCTTGTGTGTTGCATTTTTGATTGTTGTGGAAGTTGTTCGTCGTTGCTAAGTAATTGCTCCATGGTTTCTTTTGCTAGTTTTTGTCCGATAGAGGTATATAATGCTGTCACGTCGAAGGATACCATTATTTCTTGTTCATCTATTTGGATGTCTCTGATTTTCTCTAGGAATTGGATAGCAGAGTTGATGGAGTGATCACAGGATTCCGTTAGGTGTTTTAGTTTTCTGTATAATTCCTTGGACAAATTATATGTTGGAGTTCCTGGGAGTGATACAATTGGTCGTAACGGGATATTTGCCTTGTGTATTTTGGGTCTGCCGTAGAATCGAGGTAGGACTGGTCCATTGGATTTCATTCGCCATTGGTCTTGTTTTGTGATCTGTCCAGTTTTGCTGAGCTTGTTTAAGGTCCTTTGGATGCGGTTGTCCAATGTTTGTATGGGATTTGTTGGGAGTTGTTGATATACATCTTCATCTTTGAGTAGTTCTTCAGCTTTCTTGGTGTATTCTTCTCTGTCCATGACTACTGTTGTTCTTCCTTTGTCGGCTGGTAAAATGACGATGTCCTTCCTATTTTTCAGCTTTTTGAGGGCCTTTAGTTCTTGAGAGTTGAGTTGTGTGTGTTGTCTTTTCTGTTTGACCATTGGTACAATTGTTTGGCGTATCTCTTCCTGTGTTTCCTCGTTCAAGTTTGATGATTTGAGTAATGATTCAAGGGCAGCGAAGAAATCAGTTTTTGAAGCATCTCCGGTGTTGTAGTTTAATCCTTTTTGTAGTAGTTGTTGTTCCATTTTTGATAGTGGTTGTTTTGATAGGTTGACTACGCAGTCTATGGGCGTATTGTCTGGTTGTTGTTTTCTAATCTTGGCTAGCTTGGTTTTGAGGACTCTTCGTCTTTGTTCTCTGTGTTTTCCACTTGACAGTGAAATTGCGGTGATCAGCGTTGACAGGTGTTCTTGGTTGAGGGTTTTCTCTAATTTTGCTTTTTGGACATCTATTATTTGTTGATATTTGTTGATCCGATAATGTGCGTCCGTAATCATTAATTTGACCATTCGTCTTCCACATTGTTCGGCCAATTTCCATCCCATTGGGCAGTTGACTGGTGGCTTGTATCTTACACTGTTTGGTAGGATTGAATGACGAAAAGACAAGCTTCACAATATTAATAAAATAAAATGCATTACAATTACTCAGTTACATAAGACAAAGTTATACACTAATGACCAGTAATATTTAAATCGGTCAAGTAGTCAGTTCATGGTAGGCGAAGGAAGGTTGAATTCTATTGTGTTTTTTTACACATAGTTTATGATATATGTAATTGATCCAAAGTGCTTCAATCACTTTGAATAACCTTCAATAAGAATTATGTGAAATAACTGTAACACTGTCATTAATATTGATTTTGTGACATGACATTAATAATTGCTTTGCAGTGGATGATGATGATGGATTTCTATTCAAATTAGTTGCATTGGGATTTTCAGTGTTTCCTTATAACCATCTTAGAACATGTTCTACCTATATAGGTGTCATCGCAGCTGCAGGTGAACTTGTAGATACAGTTTGAAGTACAGTCCACAGAATTTCGTCCTTTAGTTGTAGGTACATGGGTAGAAAATTTTCAAGATGTGAGGGGAAGAGATGCTGCGTAGAATGTGCGCTTGATGGTTGACCAAGGTCATTGAGCTGTCACAAACCATTGTCTTCTGGAGGCATAATCGTTTTTTTTGCACGCATTTAATTTGAGTTAGCTTCATCGCATTCCTAAGTCTTGAATAAGAATTTTGTGAAATAATTGAGAAATAATCGTTCATTAATAATTACATCATGAATAGACATTAATAATTGTTTCATGATGGATAATAATAGATTTCTATTCAGATTAAGTGCATTCGAATTGCTTATGTAATTTAATAACTCTTTAGAAATATCGTCTTCCAGAAAACATTCCACTATTGGTATCAATTAATCTGTCTATACACCTGGAAGTGAATTTATAAATAAAGGACAAAACAGGCTCTTCAATGAATAGTCTCTTTTCCTTGGCAAATTCATTCACTTACATGTATAAATGCAAATATATATACTTTGTATGTGTATGTACATCAGGTTTGTCCGATAAGAATGAACATTAGTTAGGGTTATTGTTGTCAAGACATTTCCAAAATGCGATCAGTAATCAAATTGTAACTGGGGCGTGTTGGTGGGTGGTGAAGATTGGAAAGAGGGTAGTGATGATGCGTTCTCAAAGTGACGTAGTTAAATAATGTCGATCAACACGTGAAACAGTTACGTAACAGGATGAATAGTTTAATGAGTGATTTGTGAATAGGATAAACATAGAAACGAAGAGAAAGATGAAAATTACGTAATAGCTGTGAAGAAATACAAAAGTTCTAAGGAATTGGAAAAGCAAGCACACAAACATGAAGTCAGTAGAAGTCAACACGGTTGTTACCATGATAGTATAAGTGTTTGGATGATTTTCTCTAGTGTACATAAGTCTGGTTCTTCAGGCTGAATGCCTAAGGCTTCATCAATGCAAAGGAGACTAAAGCGTATTGCCCTTGGTACGTTATTCTTAACTATGTAGATTACTTTCAGGCAGGAGGCGGTTGTTGAGATGGAATGACTATCGGTGGCAACGCATCATCCCTACTCTCTTTCCAATCTTCTTCCTCACCCTTACGCCCAGTTACCATTTCATTATTCATTATACTTCCGAAATGTCTTGACAACAATAACCCTAGCTAATTTTTATTTCTATCGGACTAAGCTAGTGTAAACTGACATTCAAAGATGAGTATATCTAATTGCGATTGTACAAGGAAGTGAGTGAATTCCCCACCGAAAAGAGACTCTTCGCTGAACTACGTGTTTGTTGTTTTTTTTCATTAATATCTGGCTGGAAATTATTCATAAGTATGAAGTACATTCAGTAGGGAGAATGAATTAATCTATATTAATTGATATACTACTACTTTTTTTATACAAACTATTGTTCAAAACATGTGAAGCATAGTCTAATTTCATCATGTACACATTTATTTCTATTATACAGGGAATTCTGGTTTGATTTATAGTAAGTTTAGTAAATAATTATGAATTTGAATAAAGCAAGAACAACAGTGGTTTGTGCAGAATAAGAAGATGGTACCATCATTGTTTATTTCATTGACTTCTCATCAGATGCTCCTTATAGCCTGAATACATTATTGTTAAATTTATGTACAGAAACAGTTGAAATATACTTGCAAATTTTAAATGATGTCAGTTGACAGTAGGCTCGGAGCGTAATGAATAATGCTCAGTCAGATGATCGACAGCGGAAAACTCAGCGAGGCGTTCGAAGTGCGTACAGGAGTAAGACAAGCTGGCTGCCTATTATCACCGATGATATTCCTAATTGTGGTGGACTGGATTATGCGTCAGACTGTCGGGGGCGAGGGGTCAGGAATACGCTGGGCCACCGTAAAGAAGACTCTGGAAGATCCGGATCTCACAGATGATATATGTCAAATGCCGCACAAACTCGAAGACTTGCAAGCGAAAACCAACAAACTGGCTGAAGAAGCGGAACAGCGAAGACAGGATTACAAGTGTACATAGACAAAACGGAGGTGATGGAGATAACCAATCTACAGCAACAACAACCGATACCAATCACCATCAATGGGATAGCTTTGACAGAGGTTGCCTCCTTCACTTATCTGGGAAGCATCGTTTCAACTACAGACGGAGTGAACGAAGGTGTCAAAGTCAGAATCCGAAAGGCAAGATACGCCTTCAATAACCTGAAACCAGTTTTGAAATCTCACGCACGCAACATAAGGAACAAGATTCGCATTTTTTGAACACCAGTATGAAGTTGGTTCTTCTATATTGGTCAGAAACTTGGCGTGTCACGAAAAATATTTCTAACAGGCTAGTGCATACCTTTATAAACAGCTGCCCTCTTCGCTGGCTGGCTGGCTCCACAGTAAATATCAAAGGGCCAGAAAGAATAAGCAACAAGAAACTGTGGGAACAAACCAACCAAGAGTCGATCCCTCAACAAATATGTGAGAGAAAGTGGAGATGGACCAGGCATACATTAAGAAGGCCGCCGACTGACACCGCACGTCAGGTCCTCGAGTAGAATCCAAGTGAGAAACGATGAATAGGTCGTCATAGGGTGACGTGGAGAAAATCGTGTGAGGAAGAGATGACAGAGTTTGGCCACTCGTGGACTCAGCTGAAGAGGACGACAGAAAACAGAACAAAGTGAAGTAGTGCTGTTGAAACCCTATTTTCCACTTGGAACCCAATGGAATAATAATAAATAATCTACATAAAACTGAATTAAATAGCGACTACACGAGAAATATGATCTGTAAAATCCTCCTATTATCTGTAATTTTGAGCCTTGAGCAATAAATAAGTTGAATATTAGTCATTGTTAGCAGTCTTGATGAAAGATGATTTGAAACAATCAGGATGAAGATGTGAACCAATGTTGTATGCCTTACTGCATTCGAACTTGAACTAACTCATTACCGCTCCCGGGATTTGAACCACATGTCCGTTGTCCAGCATCACTCAGTGATCCAGTCAGATTAGTTACCAGTGAGCTGTTCCGTTTCACGATTAACGTCTTAAAGGGTTATGATAAATACAATATGATAAAAAAGTAGCCAATGCGCCTTCTTGAACCGTGCCATCAATGACTTAATTTGGTTTCAGGGCTTCCTGTAGATTGTCTCAAGATATCTAATATCAATTCAAAGATTATTAAGATGGTGACCAGCCACATTGCAAATTAGACTGAAAGAATTCAGTTTGCACCAACACCAAAGACTTGACGCATAACAATGGGAACTCCCTAGTGTCACATCAAAATAACTCTTTTGGGAGAGTTTTAACATGCACAGACTAGCCAAATACTTTGCCGAATTTATCCATTGTTTTATTTCTACCTGTAACTTGTTAACTATTTCACTGAAACTGAAAGATTTATAAAACACAAAATGATTGAGCGAAGAATAGCCTTTTCGATAAATTCCTCTTCTGGCTCTGCAATTATATATACGCTTATGTACATAGAATATTCTAGAATAGTAGTCAATAACAATATCAGTGTTTCGTTCAAATAATATCGATTGGTAAATTGAGATCAATGAAACTACAGTTCACTAAAGTTGCTTAAATTATAATAATAATAATAATAGTAAAATAGCATATACAATATCAACTAAGATTAGGAAAATTCCACAAAAATTCGGGATCATTCAAGCCTAGATGGTCAAGGTAAGGATAATGTCTGAACTAACTTCTTTCTGATGCACAAATTAGGCTTGTTAATATGGATCCCAACAGCCTTAGCAATATTTAGTAGTCGAACTCTTAAGGTGAGATTGAGATTTGTTGGTAGGCGCTAAATGACCCTGAAAGCATGGTTGACATCAATCTTGTGCACACCTACGAATCTCAATTTCACCTTAAGGGTTCGATCCATCTTAACAAGCCTAATTTGTGCATCAGAAAGAAGTTAGTTCAGACATTATCCTTACCTTGACCATCTAGGCTTGAATGATCCCGAATTTTGTGGAATTTTCCTAATCTTAGTTGATATTGTATATGCTATTTTACTATTATTATTATTATTATTATAATTTAAGCAACTTTAGTGAACTGTAGTTTCATTGATCTCAATTTACCAATCGATATTATTTGAACGAAACACTGATATTGTTATTGACTACTATTCTAGAATATTCTATGTACATAAGCGTATATATAATTGCAGAGCCAGAAGAGGAATTTATCGAAAAGGCTATTCTTCGCTCAATCATTTTGTGTTTTAAAGATTTTTGAATGAATTTTTTGCTCTACTGAAAGATTTGTTTGAGAAATGTGACTAAGCACAGTGTTCATCTATGCAACGCTGTTTTTATTCTATATATTTTCAATATATTGAATAAATATCATTTATATGTTTCCGTGTTTATTTTAGTTTAGCTGTTTACAAATGGTTACGAAGTTGTTTACTGAATACTGATAATCTTCGTGAAGTATTATTCCCAAGACGTTATTACGAATCAAGTAGCTTTCAGCTAAGTGATTTACTGAAAATACTCATGCGTCGATAATTATTACTTCTTCTTTCACCAACCGAATGGTGAAATAAACTGACTGTTGATTGTATTTTTGCTTTGATCCTACACGCATACTTTGATGTGTACATATTATCTGTATAAGTAATAAAGCTTACATATACAGTTTTTCGATATTTATTTGGAAATTGTAATAAATATTTCGGTGGAAAAGTTACAAATCAGTTAATGTAAAGTGAAAGGATAGTAACAGAATGGATTGTACTCAGAGTATTAAGAGTTGATGGTACTCGAAAAATTTACCCTTTTTTCAAACAAACACATAAACACGATTGTTCAACTTGACAATAAGTTTGCTGAATAGAGTCTTTATGTTGAATCACACATCTTTTTTTTTGTTCTTCTGAATGTCACTCTGTTCATTAATAGCCACCATCATCATCATCATCGTCACTATCATCATTTAAAAGCATTTAAGTACGTCTGCTGAGTAGAATATAAATAAAAGGCTGTAGGATAACCAGTAAGTTAGAGAATGGACCACTAAGAGGAGTTTTTAGTGAGTTGGAATTCTACGTTCGATAGATGGGCGATACATCTCTAGTTATGAAAAAGGAGGATGAAGCAATGAACGTCCTCGACAAGTCTGATGATGCTCATTCAGCAATAAACATTAACATAGAGGAAGAAATTAATGACAGCATCTCATTTCTAGACTTCTTTCTGGCAAGGAATGAAGATGACACACTGAGAAGGAGTGTGTATAGGAAACCTACAACAACACATTTTGTATCTTTGAAATATGAACGTAATCTGGTAAAGTGTCTGGTTCATGGAGCTACGTTAATGTGTTCAGACGACTGCCTCAATGAGGAGCTTAAGATTACTAGAGAATTACTTAGTAAGAGTGGTTATCCAGATAAGTCCACCTGGAAAAATATAAATTCAGCACAAAGGAGAGTCAATGTAACAACAGCTACGAAAAACGAATTATTCATAAAACTGCAGTTCTTCGGTGACAGCATTGGAGAAATAGAAACACGGTGGCTGAAGAATGCAGTTAAAATAGTTTATTATGCAACAGAAGTATGCTGTCTCTTCACTATAGCCCCTAATTCACTTTCGAGAATTAAGGATAAACTACCTAAATTTGCCTCCTTCTTGTGTATCTACAAGTCTGGTTGTAGCTGCGCCGCCAGCTACATTGGACGTACAATTAGGCATGTACATCATTGTATTTCCGAACATCATCCTGCATAGTGGTTAAGCAAGGGACGAACAAAATCTATTCTCAGCTCTGTTTTAGCACACCTTGTAGATAGTGAGCATAAAGTTGATGTTAATACAACATTTAAAATTACTTATCGCATTCCTACTAATCTTAATGTTGCATTACGAGTTCGTCTACTACATAGAGCTGAAGCCATAGGAATCCACATGAAGAAGGCGAAACTGTGTGTCCAGAAGAGATTTATACATGAATTTATATGAATGTATAGACCGGATTACTTCGCTCCACCTCCCTGTGAGCCATGGAAAATTATAATTTTCCAATTTCGTTTATCATTTTTCTGACTACAGCATATGGCCTTCTATCCTATACACAGAAATTCTCTTACCTCTTATTTTTGTAATTATTACACTTGCATTCACTAACCTATTCTTTTCTTATTTAAACGTAGCCAGTAACTCACACACTGGCACATACATACAACGCACATAACAGTCTACTCCAAGTTTCTTTATTTCTCTCCCTCCGACCTTGACATGATAACTCATCCATCTGAAGTGTAAAATCAATATGAACATGACTCATGAGAATTTATTACAACACATTCATTGACATGCATAGTCATTCACTTCGTAATTATTATTATTTATTATTATTATATCCTTTAATTCCTAGAGGAACATAGGGCTTTAGCCGCGCGTCTCCGTTGCCTTCGGTTTTCTGCCAACTTTTTCACACCGCTCCAAGTCTGTCCACATGCTTTCATCTCCTCTTCACATGACCTCCTTCAAGTCACCCTTGCACTGACGACCAACTCGCCGCTTCCCTTTCGGGTCCAACTCGAGCGATGGCTTGTCTAGTGATGTCACTTGATGGTTTCTTTCCTCAGAGTATGGCCAGTCCATCTCCATTTCTTCCTGCCTATTTGTTTTACAATTGGTTCCTGGTTGGTTCGCTCATTGCCAGAGATCCATGTTGCTGATCTTTCTGGCCGCCTATCTGATCTTGAGTATTGAGCGAAGACAACTGTTAATGAAGGTCTGAAGTTTGTTTGAGATGCTCTTCATGACGCACAGTGCAAGTCTCTGATCCGTATAGTAGCACTGACTTCACATTGGAGTTGAAAATCGGATCTTGGTTTTGATGCTGAGTGCTGTTGACCTCAACACAGACTTGATGAGAGTAATGAAAGCTCTTGCTTTTCCGATTTTGGCTTTGATATCCTCGTCAGTTCCATCAGCCTGTAGTTGAAACGATGCTTCACAGGTAGGTGAAGGATTTTGTTTCTTGCAGTTTCCTCCCATTCATGCTGATTGTTGCCTGTAGTTGTTGCTGTTGGTGTTGGCCAGGAATCTTCATCACCTCTGTTTTATCTATGTTCACCTGAAGTAAGTCCTATCTTTGATGCTTCTTCTGCCAGCTTGCTGCTTTTCACTTGCATATCTTCCAGTTTGTGGGAAATCAAACATATATCATCGGCGAAGTCCATTTTATACCTGTTTCTTCATTGCCCGTTGTCTGTCGCATTATCCAATCTACTGCAATCAGGAAGATTATTGGCGATTGTAGACAGCCTTGCCTCACTTCCGTCCTCACTTCGAAGGCTTCCGTAAGTTTCCCTTTGTGGATTACTTGGCACATGTTGATACTGACTACTTATTGTTAACAGACATATCGCCGCTTGATTTGTAAATTGTCATTCACTTTAATCAAAATGGTGTATATATTAGAATAGAGTCAGACCTGGGGATTGAATTGAAAAGTGAATATATCTTCGCTGCTTAATACTCCTACTTTCTAAATGTATAAATGGGGATTGTTTCTATGGCTAATAATTCATGGGAGTTATCAAACTGTGTTTCGGTGAGACGTGAAAACCTCTTGTGTGGAGGTAGGTCATCTGTTGACTTTCACGCAAAACTGTTATGCTTTTTAGTTTCATTCCATATTGGATTAGTTTATTTTAAATTTCACGCAATGATGATGATGCAGTATTAACAACTGAAGGGTGACAACGATTCAAGCATAGTGGTTAGGACTCTTGACGATCATGCACCTGGTCCGAAGTTCGATCCCCGGCCGACGCACACTTGATATCTATGGTCGGCCTGCAAAATTTCGGTTACCGATAATCATGCTGAAAATTCCATACCTGTACCAAAAATACGGTGTGGAATCAAGCTGTAATCAAAAATAAAAAAAATAATTTATTACCACTCATTTTTAATTACACGCCTTCACAGTTTCTCAATCCGGCTAGAATTAGTGTGGCATTTAAACCAACTAACCATCTAACTCTCTCATGGGAATTACTTTGTCATCTTAGGCCTCTGCCAGAGAGATCCAATTAAAAGAAATAATACTGTTTACCAAATACCATGTAATGACTGTTGGTGAGGTCATTTATATAGGTCAAACCAGTAGAACGGCGTCAATTCGATTATTGGAACATAACAATTTATCTAGACCTAGAATAACTGACCCTGCTAATTAAGTTAAGTCACCTAGAAATAACACTGTTCACCCATTGCATTGCACTGCATTCACTTGCATATAATCGCATAAAGCACTGTAGGTGGAACAGGGTGAAATTATTGAGAAGTAACAAAGTTAGGTGGAGAGACAGAGAGAGAGGTTAATCACTGATGCTTTGTTTATCCATTTAACACAGCACACATCCAATCGAAATGACGCAATGCGATGTCCAAATGGGAGATATGGAAAGTGCCAAGAAACAACAGAGACAAGATGGAGAGACAGAATAGAGACGAAATATGAATAGGACAAAGTGTGAAAACGTGTGACTAAAAGTGATATGATTATGAACAGTAGTAATGTATGCTCGAAACCTTGTCTCTTATCCAGTTGTTAATACTGAGCCATCAATGTGGGATGTTCATAATAAAGTTATCTAATATGGAATTACAATGTACCATAGTTCTCAAGTCCTACACTTCCTTTAGTTTGATTATGACAGCAATATGTTGAAGGAGTTATTGGTACAGCTGAATGAAATCATCCTAAAGGAATAGACTTTCACTGACCGTAGATCGTCATCACCACAACGACTCCTCTTTTTTTCACATTACGCATCACTATTTAACAGGATGTCTGACATCTGTTCAGTGGCAGAATACTAGTCAACCATGCATATGATCTGTGGATAGATTCCCGGCCGCTGCGCACGCCAGTTTTAAGCCTGATAACGATGGAGGGTTAGCGATGTGTCTGGCTATCCCACCCCGCCAGTGCTAGTATTTCAAAGTTCAGATTCGTAGCCCTATGTTCCACACGGAACGCAAAGGAATAATAAAAAAGCTACATAACAAGAACTCGAAAAGAAACACACAGACACACTCACTTAAAATCAGCAGATGTAAATATTTTTGAACAGTCAGAAAATTTCAAAACAATTAAATCAGCAAAATGTTACCTCTTATTAGAGTAAATATTTACTGAATGCTAATTCAAAAATACTTCATTTGTAAAACTGATTTCTTTAAGAGTCATTATATTTAAAACAAATAGTGCAATATGAAGGAGTTGGATGATGAGCACCTAATAAGAGCAGAAAAAGACGTACTGCCTAATACAAAAATAAAACAAAGATAATCTAGCAACACACCACATTACAGGAGAATCATGTATTAGAATATTTTCAAAGAATATTCTCGAAGTAGTCACTGTCAGTGAGAGATGGAAACAAATCATCTTTTGAACATATTTTAGAAAAATGGATACTGACTCAATCTGATGTCGGTGAGTGACAGAGTCTTCTGGATTTTTCACATTGGGTCATAGGAGTTAATAAGAAGACAATTGCAGCGAAGAAAATTTTCTTTTCGACGAAGTCATCATCTAGGCTGTACATTCCTGTA